CTCTTTCCCCTCACGGGAAAGCTGAGGTTCTCTTGAGAACCATGTGATTATTTTTCAGATAACTCCAGAGTACCCAGGCAGTCACTGTTGTGGGTCACAGGAAATGCCCCCTCCCCGGACTGTAAGACCTCAGAGGATCTGGTAGACCCTGGAAGACCTCAGGATGTTGCCAGCATTCCTACCTGCTCTGTGCTGGGGATGGGAATCTTCTCATTCAAGTAGGTCTTCTGGGGTGGTACTTGCTGAGGTGCTGGGCCTGGCAGGCTGGAAATGGAGCCATAGCTAGGCCTGCTCAGCCTCTGGGGGCTCTTGTCACCTGCAAGGGACCCCAGGATGCTAAGCGGGAGTGACTTTCTTCCAAGAGCCTAGGATTCCAGCTACCTGCCTCCTCCACCACCTCCACTCCCTCGACTGGCCATTTCATCCCTGTGTCAAGTAGAGAGAGGTTTCCAGAATCACTTCCCTCCCAGTGAGCACAGAACTTCTCCAATCTAAATCTCCTGAGTCAGGAGATTTGTGAGACATGAGGCCCAGAGAAGGGCAAGCTGAGGCCCCCAGCTCAGCTGCTCAGGCCCCATGCTCTGCCTCCCCCTCAGCTTTAATCCTCAGAACTGCCTGACTCCAGTGTGTCTGGCAGACCAGAGCCCCCACAGAGACCATAAGTCCTCCTTGCTGCCTCAAATCTCCTCCAGACTTGGTCTCCTCGTTCACCCTCCCCCACTCAAATTACACTGGGTCCCTAGAGGTCAGCACTCACCAATCATGAGGACGCAGGTGTCTGACACAGTCTGTATATGTCAGCAGGCCCAGCAGCGTCTCAATCTGTCCCCTTCTATGGGTGCTGGTACAAGTGAGTAAGAGTGGGGGAACCCGCACCCTTCCCATCCTTGCCGGACTCCCACCTCCACATCACCAAGTGCATGCCCACAATTTCACACACTCGGTGTTTCGAAACACCAAACACAGAAGTGGCCAGTGGTGGCGGAAGGAGCTGGTAACCCACAGCTTTGCCCCTTCTTCCTCTCCTGGCCACCCTGTGCTCCATTCTATCTCTGGTTTTGTTCCAGGTACCCCCAAATTACCTCTGATTTCAGGTACTTCCTGCCTTTTGGGGTATTAGTGGTCACATCTCATGGTAGTCACTCACCCACTACACACAGACATACACTCTCACACACAGAGACACACTCTCACACACACACACACACTCACTCACACATCACGCATACACACTCTCTCTCACACACACGCACACGCACACTCAGGCCTTTCATCTCAGTCTGGAGCTCCAGGGCGGTGAGTTGACCTAATATGAAGGAGGAGGAAGGTAGAGAGTCCGTCTGTCCTGTGCACCCATGAGGGTCTCAGAAGAAAAGATTTCCCAGGTCCTGCCATGGGCGAATGCTGCGTCCATGCCACAGAATGAAATCCTGGGAATTCACCCCAGAGAAATTAAACGTATGTCCAAACAATAACCTGCACACGAAGCTTATCGCAACATATTTGGAGTAGCCCACAGCTGGAATTACTCCAGCTGTCCATCACCGGGTGAGTGAATCACTGCTTGGCAACAACGGAAACAAAGTGTTACTACATATAATAATGTGGGTAAATCTTCAGGAAATGACACTGGATGAGAAGTTCAGAGCCTTGGGGGCTGGGGAGATGGATCAGCAGTTAAGGACATTGGTTGATCTTCCAGAGGTCCTGAGTTCAATTCCCAGCAGCCACATGGTGGCTCACAACCATCTGTAATGAGATCTGGTGCCTGCTTCTGAGCTTCTGGCCTGCAGGCATACATGCAGCGAGAACACTGTATATATAATAAATAAATAAATTGTTTTGTTTTGTTTTGAGACAGGGTTTCTCTTTGTAGCTTTGGGCTTTGGTGCCTGCCTGTACTGTCCTGAAGCTTACTCTGTAGCACAGGCTGGCCTCAACTCAAGAGATCTGCCTGTTTTTGCCTCCAGAGTGCTGGATTAAAGGCATGCACCGCCACCACCTGGCTAAAAAGCTTTTTTCCCCTGGTTTTTCAAGACAAGGTTTCTCTGTAGCTTTGGTGCCTGTCCTGGAACTAGCTCTGTAGACCAGGCTGGCTGTGGCTCTTGTAGAACTCACAGAGATCTGCCTGCCTCTGCATCCCGAGTGCTGGGATTAAAGGTGTGCGCCACCACTGCCCTGCTTAATAAATAAATCTTAAAAAAAAAAAAGTTCCAAACCTGCCTGGGCTGTCAACTGAGTGCCAGGTTCTAACAATTTGGTGAAACCCTATGTCAAAATGCAAAATAAAACTATAGTAGGGAAGTAGTTTAATAGCAGAAAGCTAGCATAGCACGTACTTAGGTTTAAAAAAAAAGTCACTTGGGCTGGAGAGATGGCTCAGTGGTTAAGAGCATTGCCTGCTCTTCCAAAGGTCCTGAGTTCAATTCCCGGCAACCACATGGTAGCTCACAACCATCTGTAATGAGGTCTGGTGCCCTCTTCTGGCCTGCAGGCATACACACAGACAGAATATTGTATACATAATAAATAAAATAAATATTTTTTAAAAAAGTCACTTTTAAAATCTTACCTATTAGTTCAACATGATAGCACATGTCTCCGTCCCCAGTACTCCAGAGGCTTACACAGGAGAATAGAGTTCCGAGTGAGCCTTGCACACATCAGGCAAGTGTCCTGCCATTGACCTGTGGCTTTTTCAAGACAGAGTCTATGTTGTGCAAACTGGCTTCAAACTCACAATCCTCCTGCCTCTGCATCCTGAACGCTGAGATTATAGGTATGTGCCTTGTATCTATGTGTGTGTGTGTATGCTGAAAGAGAGCACCTTGAGGATGGTGGGTGTGTGGATATGTGTGATATATGTGTGTGTGACTGTGCACTGTTGCATGCTCATACAGAGCCCAGAACAATATATCAAGTGTTTTCCTCGCTCACTCTGTCTTACCTTGAATGGTAGAATGCTGGCGTAGCATATGCCTCTGAAACAGGAGTTAACCGTTTTGTCAAGCTGGCTGGCCTCAGGATCCACCTGTCTCCAAACTCCAGCTTTGCAGCCATGCCTGACTTTTTTTTTATATGGGTGCTAAGGATTAGAACTCGGGTCCTCATGCTGGCAGAACAAATGCTTTTACCCTCTGAGCCATCTCCCCAGCCCTTGTCGTCCCATTTAAAGAGTGCTTTTTTTACAACAGCAACATCCTAGAAATCAAGATCAGATCTGCGGGTGCCCCAAGTTAGGGATAGATTGGGTGGAGGATGGATGTGGTTGTAAACGTGACTTGTGGTGCTGTGATGTGGTAGATATGGAACCCACGTGTGAACCAACTGCACGGGACTTGATATATCCATGTGTCTGTGCACCCTTTCACAGCGAATGAATCCAGAGAAAGTGAGGACATTATGGCCCAGGATAATGGTCCATGAAATTGGGTCCACGTCGGTATTCCAAATATAGTAAAAGCGGAAATGCAAACAGACGTTTGAATGCCAGCTCCTAGCAACATTATTTACATTAGCCCAGGACGGGAAAAGACCCATGTGTCTGTCAACACATGGATAGATACCATATAGTATAGATATGTAATAGAATATGACTTGAGATTAAAACGTCATGGAATTCTAATGCTTTAGATAATAAAGATAACCCCAAAGCATCATGTCGACTGGGTGTAGTGTTACATGCCTGCCATTATGGAACTTGGGCAGAGGGTACAGGAGGATTACCACAAGTTCAAGGTCAGCCTGGACAACAAAGTGACTTAAGAGCCAGCCTGAACTGATGTGGGATTCCCCTCTGTCTGCTGTAATATGTTTTATTACCATTGGCTAATAAAGAAGCTACTTTGGCCTATGGCAGGGCAGAATATAGCCAGGCTGGAAGAGATATATAGAGTAGGCAGAGTCAAAGAGACTCCAAGGGGCTGGAGAGATGGCTCAGAGGTTGAGAGCACTGACTGCTCTTCCAGAGGTCCTGAGTTCAATTCCCAGCAACCACATGGTGGCTCACAGCCATCTAGTGTCCTCTTCTGGCCAGCAAGCATACAGACAGACAGAACACAATAAGTAAATAAATCTTTTTTAAAAATTATTTATTTAGCCGGGCGGTGGTGGCGCACGCCTTTAATCCCAGCACTCGGGAGGCAGAGGCAGGCGGATCTCTAGGAGTTTGAGGCCAGCCTGGTCTACAAGAGCTAGTTCCAGGACAGGCACCAAAAGCTACGGAGAAACCCTGTCTCGAAAAACAAAAACAAACAAACAAAAAATTATTTATTAACTACAGTGTTCCACCTGCATGTACACATGCAGGCCAGAAGAGGGCACCAGATCTCATTACAGATGGTTGTGAGCCACCATGTTATTGCTGGGAATTGAACTCAGGACCTCTGGAAGAGCAGCCAGTGCTCTTAACCTCCGAGCCATCTCTCCAGCCCAATAAATAAATCTTTAAAAAAAAAAAAGACTCCATGTAGCTGCCAAAGGAGAAGGATGCCTACCAGAACCCTACCAGTAGGCCGCAGCCTCATGGTGATACATAGATTAATAGAAGTGGGTTAATTTAAGATATAAGAGCCAGCCAATAAAAAGCCTGAGCTAAAAGATCAAGCAGTATTGTAATTAATATAGTCTCTGTGTGACTCTTCGGGTCTGGGCAGCAGGGAACAAAAGACCAGCCTTCTTCTGTACTGGACTATAACTGAGGTGACTGACCTCAGTTCTTTAGAATGCCATCAGGTTTCCTATAGGCAACTCTTTTGTTTTGTTTTTGTTTTTGAGACAGGGTTTCTCTGTGTAGCTTCGGAGCCTGTCCTGGAACTTGCTCTGTATACAGCTGGCCTCGAACTCACAGAGATCCACCTACCTGTGCCTCCCGAGTGCTGGGATTAAAGGCGCGTGCCACCACTGCCCGGCGGTTCTTTGGAACTCCAAATGTCATGAACACTGACTCATGATGAACAGTGGCTCATCACTATCGTCATTTGTGTGTTAAGTCACTACCGAGGTGATGTTGGCATTAAGAGGCAGGACCCTTGGGGCTGTTACAGGTCACATTCAAAAATGGGATTACTGCCCTTATAACGAGAGGTTTGGGGGCTAGCAGAGGAAACAGCTCATTTAACAGAGTGCCTGCCACCACAGTGGGCCCCATCCCCAGCACGAACAGAGTGGTGACCTAGACCTGAATACAACAGGCACAGGAAAGGTACTTCGCCTATGTTTCATGAGTCCCTGTCTCAACACCCCCCAAACAAACAAACAAAAACAGAAAACAAAAACCAAGCAAGCAAACTAACAAGCAAGCAGACCTGGGCTGGAGAGATGACTCAGCAGTTAAGAGCATGTACTGCTTTTGTAGAGGACCAAGTCCAGTTCCCAATACCCATGTCAGGCCACTGACAACTGCCTGTAACTCCAGCTTTAGGGGATCTGATCCTCTTCTGGATGCTAAGGGCTTTGCACATGCACATGTAAACGCACACACATAACAAATAAATCATGGTGTATACCACCATGCCTGGCTAAATTTCTGTTTCTGTTGCTTATAGATTTCACAGTTTAGATATTTTTGTTTCATTTTGTGTGTGTGTGTGTGTGTGTGTGTATGTGTGTGTAGACAGCAGTTTCCATTCATCGACAGGCTGACCTTGAACTCAAGATTCTCCTGCCTCAGCCTCCAAAGTGCCAGTATTACAGGTAGTACCACCACACTGGGCTCGAAGCATTTTCTTTTCTTTTTTAATGTTTTGGATTTATTGTATTCGTATAGATGCTTTGTCTGCATGCATGTCTGTGAGCGCCTCGTCCGCATGCATGTCTGTGAGCGCCTCGTCCGCATGCATGTCTGTGAGCGCCTCGTCCGCATGCATGTCTGTGAGCGCCTCGTCCGCATGCATGTCTGTGAGCGCCTCGTCCGCATGCATGTCTGTGAGCGCCTTGTCTGCATGCGTCTGTGAATGCCTCGTCTGCATGCATGTCTGTGAGCGCCTCGTCCGCATGCATGTCTCTGAGCGCCTTGTCCGCATGCATGTCTGTGAGCGCCTCGTCTGCATGCATGTCTGTGAGCGCCTCGTCCGCATGCATGTCTGTGAATGCCTTGTCTGCATGCGTGTCTATGAATGCCTTGTCTGCATGCATGTCTGTGAGCGCCTCGTCTGCATGCATGTCTGTGAGCTCCTTGTCCGCATGCATGTCTGTGAGCGCCTCGTGCGCATGCATGTCTGTGAGCGCCTCGTCCGCATGCATGTCTGTGAGCGCCTCGTCCGCATGCATGTCTGTGAGCGCCTTGTCTGCATGTGTGTCTGTGAATGCCTTGTCTGCATGCATGTCTGGACATCACATGCATGCCTGGTGCCTGAGAAAGAGATGCGCCTTCATGTGGGTGCTGGGAATCAAATCTGGGTCCTTTGGAAGAACAAGGCCTCTTAATCACTAAAACAACTCTCCAGCCCCAGGGTATTTTCTTATAACAGTCTTGACAGACTAATTCAGGCAGCAAAACCTTCTCATGGTCCTGGAACTCGCTCTGGAGAGTTCCTAACTAAACTACAGGCTATTTGCGGTGATTAAACAGCAGAGCATTTCGGATGGAGATGTCCCAATGGTGATGGTTTCCAGGAAACATGAGATTCAGTCAGAGGGTTAGTAAAGGAAAGCCCAACAGAGGACCTCTCTGCACCTTCATAAGGATAAACAGCCTGGGTTTGTTCATTGTTGGTTTTCAGTACTAGGTCCTTAATGGTAGTAGCTAGGCATTCTACCACCGAGTTATGTTCCCAGCCTACCCCTCTCCTTTTTTTTTTTTTTTTTTTTAACTTCTTGTCTTGTTTTGGGACAAAACCTAACTAAATTGCTCAGGCTGGTCTGGAATTCACTCTGTAGCCCAAGCAATCCTTGACTTTGTCATCCTTCTGCTTCCGTCTCTTAAGCAGCCTGGGTTACAGGACCACGCGCACCTGGCTGGGTAGAAAGCGGTGCAGGCCATATCCGCTTCTGGTTTGCTTTTGTTCAGGTCCCTTCCTCTTGCTGAAATGCCCATGAGCCCTTGATGAGAGCAATGCTGACGTCCAATAAGCAATATGACAAGAGCCTTCAAAGTGATTCAATAATTCCATTAGTCAGAACAATTTTTTAAGGATGCAACTGCTGAACCAGGTGTGGTGGTCTGTACTTGACATCCCAGCACGTGGGAGGCAGAAGCAGGAGGGTCTCAGATTCAAGGCCAGCCTGCTGTTGTACACCGGGAGTTCTCACTATACAGATGGGGCTGGCTTCAAACACACAGAGAGCCAGCTCCCCGAGTGCTGGGATTAAAGGTGTGCAGTTCCACAGCTGGCTACAGTGAGTTCTAACCCAGCTGAGCCATGGAGTCTGTTTCAAATAAAAAAGAAGAAAACAGGGCTGGAGAGATGGCTCAGTGGTTAAGAGCATTGCCTGCTCTTCCAAAGGTCCTGAGTTCAATTCCCAGCAACCACATGGTGGCTCACAACCATCTATAATGAGGTCTGGTGCCCTCTTCTGGCCTGCAGGCATACACACAGACAGAACATTGTATACATAACAAATAAATAATTTTTTTTAAAAAAAGAGTTTTAAAACAAACAAGCTCCCCCCCAAAAGGGCCAAAGAACAACAAGGCCAGGTCCTGAACCCAGCTCAGTAGACCATGCTATACATCCTGTCTCTGCCTCCCGGGTGCCGGGATTAAAGGTGTGCACCACCACCTTGGCTTGTGAATGCATTCCTTTTTAATAAAGGAGGGGAAAATGACATAAAAAAATGTGCAAGGCTCTCCAGGTGGTGGTGGTGCACACCTTTAAGCCCAGCACTTGGGAGGTAGAGGCAGGTAAAACTCTGTGAGTTCAAGGCCAGCCTGGTCTATAGAGCTAGTTCCAAGACAACTAGGGTTGTTACATAGAGACACCACGAAAAGCAAAAGTAAATAAAATAGAAATATTTTTTTTTTGCAAGGCTCAAGTGGCAGCTCTCTCTGAAGTCTTCTGAAGCAACTCCTCTGAGAGACAGACCCTGCCCTCCTCCCTTAATATTCCTCAGCCTTGTGGCCTCCGGCCAGGCATCCATTATTCCTCCAGGCTCTCTCATGTTAGAGCAGCAAGGCTGAGGCCTGAGGACCAGAGGCCTTAATGGAGGCACAGTGCCTGCACCCCAACTACCCACTGCCTCGGAAGACCTGTCTATCACCACCCAGTCCACAGCCATCATCAGATATACAAGCCATTGGCCAGAACTGGGGGCGAGCAAGGGACCTGGAGTAGTGATGAGTACCCGTCTGTTTTGTTTGTCTTCTCTATGGGTAACTGGGGAGCTCTTGCACAGTCTGGGGGAGTCTCGTGTGTACTGGCTGGTGGTAGAGGAACGGAAGCATTAAGAAGCTGAGCAGGGCAAGGGGTGTTCCATGGCCCCGCTCACATTCCTGCATTCTTTCCTGGGTGGTGGTGATTGTGTTTAGATTCAGGCTGCTACTGCTGGCTTTCATGGCCAACTCCAGCCTAAAATCCTGTTCTCCTGTCTACGGGATCTTACCACACAGGACTCAAACGCACTTCCTCACCCCATCTTCCTTAATTTTTAATTTAATTTTGAGACAGGGCCTTGTCGTGTGGCCCTAGCTTGCTACCAGCTCTCAGCAGTATTCCTGTGTCAGCCTCCTGAGCGCTGGCTACAGGCGTGTCAACACATCTGACTACAGGCCTTAATTTTCGTCCCTCTGAAACGGTCACAACCATGAAAATAGCATCTAGGAAGAAAAGATGAACCTCACTGGGTAAACAAAGTTAAAGCTTCACATTTTTTAACAAGAGGGGCTGGCCAGAGACAGTCCCTGCTGGCAGAGTAGGAGGGGAAGGACTCTGCTATCTCCCACTGAACCCGCAGCCAGGATCCTGCCAGTCCCAGGGGCTCGCTCCCAGCCGTCTACCTAGTCATTTTCCAGATCCAAACTCCTCTGGATGTCCAGATCCATATCCTGGCTTCCGTCATCATTCTCGTCGACTTCGTCGTCGTCGTCGTCCTTGGCGCTTTCTCCGTCGTTGTCGTCGTCGTCATCGTCGTTGTCTTCATCATCATAGTCATCATCGTCGGCGTAAAAGTAGTCGCCATACTCGTATTCTTCCTCATATTCCTCCTCGTATTCCTCCTCGTATTCCTCCTCTTGCTCTTCCTCCTCCTCCTCCTCCTCTTCTTCTTCTTCTTCTTCCTCTTCCTCCTCCTGCTCCTCCTCCTCCTCCTCCTCGGACTCCAGTGGGCGGAAAGGGCTGGGCCGGTGAGAGGAACGCAGGGCAGCGACCGGCGGGCGCAGCACCTCGAAGGACCCGAAGTGCTCAGCAGCAAAGGTGACCACGTCCTCCGGCCGGCGGAGCAGCAGGAAAAGCAAGAAGTCGGAGATCAGCGCGTGGGCCTCGGGGTGCTGCCGCAGATAGCTGGTGTGGCTGAGGCGCAGCTGCTCCTGGCGGGGCATGGGGCGGTCACCCACCGGAGCTGACCAGGAGCGCCTGGGCTGGGACCCCTTATCTCCCAGACAAGTGCATTCCGCTCTCCCCATCCATAGTAGGAAAGCAGGTGGACCCCTCGGCTGCTGCCACTTCTCACCTTCCGGTTCAGGAATTTCGAGTATAACTCCAGGTCTTCCTCCCACACCAGGGGCTTCTTATCAAACTGGGGCGGAGGCTCAATCACATCTAAGTGGAGTGAGCAAGAGACCTGTGTACTCATTCCTTGCGTACACAGTGGGGATCCCAGGAACTCTCAAGTATGGGCTTTGTTCTGAGAGGTACTCATGGCAGAGGTCCATCCTAACCCTCCCAGGCTGATTGAAGGCCTCTGTCCCACCCCTACCGCTGGATCTTTCCCCGAACAAGAGAGAGGCCAGGTTCCTCCCACCCTCCCCCTCACTGTCCAGCGCTGTCCCAAGTCACTTACCCTCTTCCCTCAAGAGGGGCATCTTAGTGATGATACAACAGCCTGGGGAGCCCACCTGGACTCTCTTAGCCAGGTGCCTGCAGGGCAATACAGAATAAGCTGGGGAGTCTCCTGTATCGCCGGCTGGTGGCGGAAGGGTGCACCTACCCACCTACCCCACAGTGTGATGGGAGCCTTCTGGGAGATGACTAAGGTCAAATGAAGGGCATAATGGCAGGGCTCTAATCAGAGGATTGGCAGCCTCCTAACAGAAAGAGAAAGCAGAGAGAGCTGTCTACCCACTGGCACAGAGAGTGGTGGCTGCCGCCAGAGATCTCACCAGGAACCAACCCTACTGGCCATTGTTTGAGCCATCCAGTGGTTTTTGTTTTAAGTATTAATTTCTCGTGTGTGTGTGTCTGTGTGTGTGTGTGTGTGTCTGTGTGACCAGGCAGGCACATGCTTGTGTGGAGGTCAGGTGACAACTTGGTTTTGTTTTTTGAGATAGGGTTTCTCTGTAGCTTTGGAGCCTGTCCAGGCTGACCTCGAACTCCCAGAGATCCGCCCACCTCTGCCTCCCAAGTGCTGAGTTAAAGGCTTGCGCCACCACCGCCTGGGCCAGGTGACAACTTGTGGTTCTCTCCTGCCCTGTGATTTCCAGGAACTGAACTCAGGTCATCAGACTTTGTGTGGTTCTCTCCTGCCCTGTGATTTCCAGGAACTGAACTCAGGTCATCAGACTTTGCAGGACGCTCCCTCGCTGCCTTCCCAGCTGAGCCACCCTTAATGAGCCTGCCTGTTTTGGAGTTCTTACTATTGTAGACAGTCCTCAAACTTAGGACCATACTCCTGTCTCAGCCTCTCAAGGGCTGGGATGACAGGCATGAACACCTGTTCCCAGCTCATCTTGTGGTGTTTTGTGGCAGCTAAGGTAAGACACTACAGCTTCCCCACGAGAGCTGCCTTGAGGCCACTGTTTAATCTGCTTCCTCTCCTTATCTTTGTGGTTCTTGGTCCTGTCCCAGACAATGACAAGCATCAGGCCTTGCCTTAAAAGATAACAAACATTTATAGCCCCAGGACCTAGGGTACTAAACAGGAAGATTGAGATTTGAGGCTCACCTGGGCTCACTTTTTTTTTTTAAGCAAATGAGATGGACAAAGCAAAGGTACACCCAGACCTCAATGACACATTTTCCTGGCAGTATCGTGGGAATAATAGTGACCCCTGTGCCCCACTCCATCCCATGAATGTCCTTTCTTTTTTCTTTGTTTGTTTGCTTGTTTTTCAAAATAGGGTTTCTCTGTAGCTTTGGAGCTTGTCCTGTAACTAGCTCTATAGACCAGGCTGGCCTCGAACTCACAGAGATCTGCTGTCCTTTACTTCCCGAGTGCTGGGATTAAAGGTGTGCACCACCACTGCCCAGTCTCGAATGTCCTTTCTTCATGGTCAGAGCACTCATACTTTATGTGACCCTGTCACTTAGGTCCTCCCCACCAGTGGCTCACCCATCAGAGAGCAAGTAGAATTGACAGGAGAAGGGGATGTCTTCTTCAGAGTGGATGGTTTGTTCCACGATGAACATCTCAGCCTGCTGGTGGCCCAGTTGGATTGTCTGGAAGCCCAGGGATTGCTGCAGCAACCAAAGCAGGGGCTGTGGTGAGGTCGTTGCTCACCACGGTTACCCTGTCTCCTCAAGCCCTGTCCTTCTCCTCGTTCCTGCTCACCAGTGAGAAGTCACACTTAGCATTTCAGTTCCTCACAGGCCACACAGTTTGAGTTGCATTCTCTAGATAAGTTGGGGATTCTTCACAGCCAGTTCTGGCCACCCGCTGCCACCCCCTGCCCAAGTCATTCAATGGAGGAGGCTGGCTTATTTTGTTACAGGGACAAGCATCAGGGTGGAGAGGAAGGGGCTGTCCAATGAGAGGGCCTGTCTCACCAGGCAGACAGTGCTTCAGAAAAAATCCTGAGCAGGACAGGCATCTTTACTCCCAGCTCTAGGAAGGCAGAAGCAGGCAGATCTCTGCGTTCAAGGTCAGCCTCATCTACAGAGCTAGTTCCAGGACAGTCAGGGCTACACAGAGAGACCCTATCTCAAAAACCAAAAGAAGGAAAGAAAGGAAGGAAGGAAGAAAGAAACACCTGCATTGACCGCTGTCCTCCACCTGCACAAACCTGCATGTACATTTGTGCTAGTGCACACACACACAGAAAGTCAGGTGTGCCATCCAGATGTACACACTCCAGCATTTGGGAGGTTAATGTGGGAGGACTGAGAAGATAAAGCCAGTTTGGACCACACACACGCACATGTATGCACATGCACACACACACAAAACCTGTTGAAAAAAAAGGTATATCTTTGGACTGAGGTGAAACATTTGCCTAGCATTTTCAAACCCTAGATAAGGTATGATTTTTGTCATTGAGACAAGATCTCATGGTGCACAGGCTAGCCTTGTAATAAATAGATAGCTAACGATGAGTTTGAACTCCTTGGCCTTCTGTCTCCACTTCCCAAGTACTGGGATTATATGTACATGACTGGCTTTAGATGCTGTATTTTGTGTGTGTGTGTGTATATATATTTGTGCATCCCTGCGGGTATAGATGTGCTTGTGTGTCTGTGTGCGTGTATACATGTTTGTGCATGCCTGAAGGTATATATGTGCTCATGTGTGTGTGTGTGTGTGTGTGTGTACATGTTCAGGCATGCCTGCAGGTATATATGTGCTTGTGGGTCCATAGGTACTTGGCATGCATGCATGTCTGTGTGTGACTGAGAACAACTTCAGGTGTTGTTTTTCAGGAGTTGTCCACCTTATTTTATTTACTTTTAAATATTTATTTTTATTTTTTCATGTATATGAATGTTTTGCCTACACACACACACACACGTATGTGTACTTATTGAGTGAGTGTGTGCCTAGTGCCTTCAGAGCTCTGAGGCCAGAAAAGGACATTAGATCCTCTGTAACATTGATTACGGAAGGTTGTGAGCTCCTATGTGGGTGCTGGGAACCGATCCAGGGTCTTCTGCAAGACCAGTAAGTGCTCTTAACCACTGAGTTCTCTCTCTACCTCCACCTTGGTTTTGGAAACAGAGTCTCACTGGGACCCCACTGGGACCCGAGATTGCCTGATTTAGCCAGGCTGTCTTCACCTCTCCAGGTCTGGGATTAAAAGTGTGCACCCACATATATGGTTTTGAGGGTCAAACTCAGGTCCTCGTGCTTCACCACTGAGGTATCTCTCCAGCCTTAGAGGATGTACATTTAGAAAGCAGAATAACTTTCTATTTCTTTCTTCTGTATTGAAGCTCATGCAAAGAAGGTTGCTTCCCACCTTCTCATTCCTTACTAATTCCACCTGCTCTATCCTCAACCTTCCTTCTGTTCAGTGTAGTTCTTAATTGCCCTTGTCCTGGCTTATGGCATTCTACTCTCATGGCTCAGTGCCCACTCACCTCGGTAGCCACTCTCTCCACCTTTACACCTGTCTTTCCCACCTCTGTGGTCTTTGTGATCCTTTTAGTTTGCCTTTTTTTTTTTTTCTGGTTTTTCGAGACAGGGTTTCTCTGTGGCTTTGGAGCCTGTCCTGGAACTAGCTCTGTAGACCAGGCTGGTCTCGAACTCACAGAGATCCTCCTGCCTCTGCCTCCCGAGTGCTGGGATTAAAGGCATGTGCCACCATCGCCCGGCTGCCTTTTTTTTTTTTTTTTTTTTTTTTTGACAGTCCCATAGCCGGACTGACCTCAAACTTGACATGTAGCTGAGGATGACTTTGAACTTCTGATTCCCCTGCTTTCCCCTCCCAAGTACTGGACCACTATGTCAGGCCAATTCCCTTCCCAGAGAGAGTACTCACATAGGTGCAATAGCATAGTTTGCCCTCCGTGTCCAAGGCCAGGAAGCGAGCACCGCTGGGCACTGACCGCTGCCAGGCCATCACTCTCAGAAGCACCAGATTGGCGGCGCTGGAGACAAAGCCCTTAAGTGATTGACAGGGGAAGACTGAGACTCCAGTCTTGGTTTCCTGTTGGGGCAGATCTGAGTCAGAGACTGAATTCAGAAGAGGCAGGACGTGTTCGAGCAGGGTATTGAGTGTGGAGTTCATCTCAAGGGCTCGGTCTAGGCACCTGGCCTCACACAAGCTTGTCTCTGCTGTGGTTTCACTCTTACCTCACCCTCCTTGACACTTCTGGTCACAACCATCTGGTCATCCTGCTTCAGGATACTCATCTTCTGCTCCATGGGGAGGATGGGAAACTGGAGGCCAGAGCATGTGCGTGAATGGAGCGCTCACCCTTAAGAGGCCAGTGCCCACCCTTTCTTCTGGTTGTTTGTATTTTGTTTTTCTGAGGCAAAACGGTTCAGAATAACCTGGAACTCCCTATGTAGCCCAGGATAGTTTTGTACTTGCAGCAATTCTCCTGTCTCAACCTCCCAAGCACTGATAAATACAATCAGTCTTGTTCGTTTTTGTTGTTGTTGTTGTTTGTTTGTTTTTCGAGACAGGATTTCTCTGTAGCTTTGGAGCTTGTCCTGGAACTAGCTCTTGTAGACCAGGCTGGTCTCAGACTCACAGAGATCTGTCTGCCTCTGCCTCCCAAGTGCTGGGATTAAAGACGTGTGCCACCACCGCCCGGCCAGTCTTATTCTCTCTCTCTCTCTCTCCCCCACATCTCTCTCTCTTTTTTTTCTGAGACAGGATTTCACTGTGTACCCCTGGTTGTACTGGAACTCACTCTGTAGACCAGGCTAGCCTTGAACTCACAAAGATCAGCCAGCCTCTACTTCCTGGAGTGCTGGGATCAAAGGTGTGTGCCACCACCACCCAGCTTCAGTCTTATTCTTTATAAAAGACAAAATAAAAGTGTAAAGACTTGGATCTAAAATAAAAATGATAACCAGGGCCAGCAAGGTGTCTCAATGGTCTCAGTGGGTAAGAGTACTCGTTACACAAACCTGACAACTTGAGCTGGAGTCTGGCTCCCACAGTCTGTGGTGGAAGGAGAGAACCAACTCCCAAACGCTGCCCTCTGACTGATTTCCACATATGTGTCCTCCCCCCAAATAAGAAAAAATGTAAAATGACAAACAGCTGTCCATGGTGATGTACTTTCTATAATCATAGCACTTGAGAAGCTGAGGCAGGAGGATTAAGCTGGAACCCAACCTTGTCTACCTCCAATCTTGTCTCAAAAAAGCAAAAAGCTTAAAAATAAGACAGACAAACAGATGGATGGAAAGTCTCAAAGCCTGATGTAGTGGTCCAGCACTTGGAAGGGAAAAAGCAGGTGGATCAGGGGTTCAAAGTCATCCTTAGCTACCTGTCAAGTTTGAGGTCAGTCCGGCTATGAGACTGTCTCAAAAAGAAGAAGAAGAAGAAGAAGAAGAAGAAGAAGAAGAAGAAGAGGAAGAGGAAGAGGAAGAGGAAGAGGAAGAGGAAGAGGAAGAGGAAGAGGAAGAGGAAGAGGAGGGAGGAGGAGGAGGAGGAGGAGGAGGGGGGGGGGGGGGGGGGGGGGGGGGGGGGGGGGGGGGGGGGGGGGGGGGGGAGGAGGAGGAGGAGGAGGAGGAGGAGGAGGAGGAGGAAGAGGAGAAGCAGGAAGAGCTGGGTGGTAATGTTGCATGCCTTTATACCCAGTGCTTGGGGGGCAGAGGCAGGTGGATCTTTGAGTTAGATGCCAGCCTGGTCTGCAGAGTGAGTTCCAGGACACAAAGAAACTTTATCTTGAAAAACAAAACAAAAAAAAAAAAAAGGAAGGAAGGACGAAGGCTTCCGTTTATGGTGGCAGTCAGGAGTAAGGCCGTAGTATGCGATAGGAAAGCAAACAGTGATACACCTCGGAACAGCACACAGGCTTGAAGCTGGGAACAGATTCTCTGAGAAGCCCGGAAGGCCCAGGTCATCTTCCGTGTTTAGCTAGGTTATGGCCCCATAGAGGAAGTTACTGAAGACTGGGTGAGGGGTTTCGAGCCAGGACACTGAAAGGGTTAGTGGTGACAGGCTCCAGGGAATAGCCAGGCTCTGGGAAAGGCCAGGCCACATGGCCCTGGGAGGTGTTCAGGCTTTCAGGCCGGAGGAGGCCCCGGTGGGCTGGGCTCCATAGAACATTAACAGCAGTAATGGAGGTGGCTGCTCATCTAGCTGTGTGTGCCGGAGGGGCAGATCGGTGGGTGACAGTGGTGTGACGCTTTCCTGGGGTCCCTCCCACCCCCACAGGGTCTGTGTTCTTGCTTACCCTCAACGGAAGCAAGGCTCGGGGCGGCTGGGAGTAAGTACCTTAATGAACTCTTGACTGTGCTGCTCCATCAGCTCCAGCTTATTGGTTAGGTAGCCTGGGGTACAGGGAGGCAAGTGCTGACGTCACAGGAAACAGGGGTCTGAAATGGACCCTAGGGAAGGCTGGCCCAGACTGGTGCAATGTGGCCATGGGAAAATGACAGGAGGGTCAGCCTTGCTCTGTCCTCCCTGCCATGTCTTGCCCTGGTGCCCGTGTAAGTCAAGGGCTGCAGGTGGGGGCTGTGGAGGGAAGATGTGGTACAAGGCAGCTGAACCCTACCTAGGAGGGAGCTTCCGCATGGCGATTTATCGATGAAGCCTCGGCTACAGGCGTGAACCAGTAGACAGTGGGTCAGGATGCCCTGTTCATCCCTGTATTTCCCTTTCTGCACCTCGATGGTCAGCTCTCCCTGAGGCTCGCCTGTGTCTGAGACGATGGCCAGAGTCTCGGGGAAGAAGAGTAGCAGTTTCTCCAGCCCTGTTTGGTGAGAGAAGCTCTCTCCGGGTCCAGCTTCTAGACCCCAAAACACCCACTTACCCCTTGCCATGTCTGCTATCTCCTTGCCAGCCTTGTGACCATTCCCTGTCATCAGCAGGTGCCAGCTGGTGACCCTTCCCCAGAGTCTTGTCCCTCCACAAACACGAGCAAATCCAGTGGTGAGAGACAGGAATGAGTCTCTCTTCCTTCTTCCCCAGACTCGCAGCTCTCCCCGTGCCCACCCCACCATCTGGCTCACGGAAGGAGTCGAGGAAGTTGATGGCTTCAGTGTTGGCCTCTGGGAACGACTGTTGCTCTTGATGCTGTTGCTGCTGCTGCTGCTGCAGCAGCTGACTTGCACGTTGGTTGTCCTTGGCTCGGGAGCCTACAAGAGGAAGGAGAAGATAAGATGTCAGATCCTGGGGAAAAGCGCAGGGTACGCAGGGCACCCTAGTTCTGATCCCTGTCCCCAGGAGCTGAATTTACTAAGACCACGCTCAGGTTAGGTTGTGAGGGAGAAATATCTCTTCTCCTTCCACCCACAGAACAACAGCCCATTCCCCACCTGTGGGGAAAACTTTGGAAGACATGCTGATTGAGGTCAGTCAGTCTGTGGCTAGTTGTCTCCATGGCAACCAGAAGCTAGGACTGCCCCTTAAAGGGCAATCAACCTTTACTGAGCCTAGATTTGTCAGTCTTTGGTGCTCAGCCCAAGCTTTAGAGGTTGTCCAGCAGAGGGCGCCTTTGACATTCTTAAGAGGCAAGAGGAACCGGGGTTATACTTTCTTGGGCTGGAGAGATAGCTCAGTTGTTGAGAGCACTGGCTCCTTTTCCAGAAGACCTGGGTTTGAATCCAAGCACCCAGATGATGGCGGCTCACAACACTCTGCAGTTCTATGGGATCCAGTTCCCTCTTCTGTGGGCATTCAGCAAAACACCCAAACACACAAAATAAAACAATAATAAAAAGAAGTAGCAGACGCATGCCTGACTCCAAGGAAGGACGATCAGGAGTAAAGCCAGACCCAGGCTCACACACAGAATCTACCTCTAGGTTGTATGATTATCTTTGTGAGTTATAGTCCTAATATAGTCTCCAACTGCCAATGGCTCAACCTCCCATTCATTCATCACTTTTATGATGGTGGGAAAGCCATGCAATTCAATAGCAACTGTATTTCTTTTTTTCTTTTTTTTTTTTTGCAATTGTATTTCTAGTTCCTGGGCCCAACACATGCTGTTCATCTTTCCTGCAAGCTCAGCCTTCAGCCAGCCAGGCCAGCTGCTCTGCAGAGCAGGCTATGCTTTGCCCAGCACTGTGTGGCTCACCAAGCTTGCTCTTTTCACCTTACTACATTGCCATCTTGTGGCAAGTTCAAGGAGGTCTAATCTTTCAGAAACAGGAGCGTAATGATGATGGCACTGGGAGGCATAGCAAACTCTTGGGTTCGTTGGTTGGTTGGTTGGTTTTATGGTGGTTGTTTTGGGGACAGAGTCTCTATATAGCCATTGCTATCCTGGAACTCACTATGTAGAACAGGCTGGTCTCGACTCATAGAGATCTAGAACTTGTCATTTGCCTGCCTCTACCTTTCAAGTTTTGGGATTACAGGTATGCACTACTATACTTTATTACCTCCACCTTGTAGATAAGAGAACTAAGGCACAGAGAGGCTCAGTGGTTTCCAAACATCACATACCTAATCCTTGACAGAGCCACGACATGACCAGAGAGAGTCAGACTTGAGTTTATGCATACAGGCAGCAGCCGGATAGGATGGTGCAGGGTCATGAGTCATCACGTGGGAGATCCAGGCAAGGGAAGCAGAAATCCAAGTCATTCTCAGCTACATATTGAGTTTGAGGCCATCTTCAGTTGCATGAGACTCTGTCTTAAAAAGATGAAAATAAATCCAGGCAGTGGTGGCACACGCCTTTAATACCAACACTTGGGAGGCAGAGGCAGGCAAATCTATGAGTCTGGTCTACAGAGTAAGTTCTAGGATAGCCAGGGCTGCACAGAGAGATTCTGTCCTGAAAATACGTGAAATTAAAGAAAAAAAAAGATAATAAAAGAAAAGAAAAGAAGAAAGGAAGGAAAGAAAGAAGGAAGGAAGAAAGAAAGAAAGAAAATAATTGAGGCAACCAGGAAACCAGGAAGCAATAGGTGAGAGATGACTGGGTGACAGCAGAAACGTGAATGGGAACTTCTAGTGCAACAGCACCTAAAGTAGTTAGAAACAGACTTGGAAAAGGAGTGACTATGTGACTCATACCTCAAGCTGTGGCCATCTGATTCTCCTTTGGGCATGTTGTAGTTGATGCTATATCCAATACAAACTGTATTAATAAGAGCAGTGGGGCTGCGTCCCACCACCCGGCTAGCTTTATCCAAAATAATTACACAGAAACTGTATTCTTTTAAACACTGCCTGGCCCATTAGTTTTAGCCTCTTATTGACTAGCTCTTACATATTGATCTAACCCATTTTTAATAATCTGTGTAATACCACAAGGTGGCTTACCAGGAAAGATCTTAACCTGTGTCTGTCTGGAGTGGGAGAATCATGGCGACTGTCTGATTTGGCTTTTTTTTTTTCAGCATTTTGTCCTGTTTACTCCACCTATCTAAATTCTACCCTATCAGAGGGCCAAGCAGTTTCTTTATTAATTAACCAATGAAAACAACAGATAGACAGATGACCCACCTCAATCAACAAACAGGTCAGCATAATAGCCAGCACCTCAGAGAAATTCTTGACACTAACTAGCCTTAGACACCGAAGGGTTGTTCCACTCATATCAGTGAGGATGGTGCTCTTCGTGGGACCTCCATATTCCAGTTAACTTTTTTTCTGTTTTTTTATAAATATTTATTTATTTAGTATGTATACAATATTCTGTCTGTGTGTGTGTGCCTGCAGGCCAGAAGAGGACACCAGACCCCATTACAGATGGTTGTGAGCCACCATGTGGTTGCTGGGGATTGAACTCAGGACCTTTGGAAGAACAGGCAATGAATGCTCTTAACCTCTGAGCCATCTCTCCAGCCCCTCCAGTTAACATTTTTATTGGCTTTATTGAATTTATTTGTGTAGGGTGTGCACCACATTGCATGTGTCTGGAGATCAGGAGACAACTTCTGGAAGCCATTTCTATACTTGTGCCACGTGAGTTCTGGGGACTCCAACTCAGGCGGTCAGGCTTGGTGGCATTCTTAAATTACATTTTTTTAGTTCAGAGATAGTTCAGAGGTTTTGAGCACTGGCTACTCTTCCAGAGGTCCTGAGTTTGATTCCCAGCAACTGCATGGTGGCTCACAACCATCTGTAATGAGATCTGGTGCTCTCTTCTGGCCACAGGCAAACATGCGGGCAGAACACTGTGTGGTGACTGAGATTTCTGTCCTGCTTGGTCCCACATCTGTTCAATCCCAGAGAAACACACAGAGGTCTGCACTATCATAAACTGGTTGACCAATTAGCTCAAACTTCTTATTAACTCTTACATCCTACATTAACCTATAATCCTTGTCTGTGTTAGCCACGTGGCTTGGTACCTTTTATCAGCGAGGCATTTTCATCTTGCTTCCTCTGCATCTGCAGACTGCAGACTCAACCTTTCCTCTTCCCAGAATTCTCCTGTTCTAGTTGCCCTGCCTATAATTCCTGTCTGGCTACTGGCCAATCAGCCTTTTATTAAAGCAATACAGAGGATAAATCTTTACAGGGTATAAGATCATTGTCCCACAACAACTGTGAACTTGAGAAATTACATTTTTAGCTAGGGATGGTGGTATATACACATCTTTAGACCCGGTACTCAGAGTGCAGAGGCAGGTAGAACTCTGTGAGTTAGAGACCAACCTGGCTGATACAGGGACTTCAAGGGACACCCAGAGCTATATTTTAAGACTACTTTTAAAAATATTTTAATTAAAAACTAAACAAAAGCAAACTATTGCTTTAATAATATTAATTTATGTAAAGATGGACAAAAATCTTCCTTTTTGTTGTCACCAACATGCTCCAATTTCTTTTTAGAGTTGGGTTGCCAAGTGTCTTAGATTTAGACAAGGATGCCTTATATAGTCAAGGCTCACGTGGAATTTCTGAGTGCTGAGACTGAAAGTGTGGAACACCATGCTCGGCTCATGAGCGATGTGGGACTGAACCCAGGGCTTCATGAACATTAGGTAAGCACTCTACCACCTGAGCTATACCTCCACCCCCTAAATTATTCTGGTTATTAGAATAAAATTAAAAGAAAATGTAGCTGCCGTGAGTGTGACTCAGTGGTACAGACTTGTCTACAACCTACAACACCCCAGGCTGATCCCCAGCATGCATAAAATCCAAATAAACAAAAGGCTCACCAGAGCATGGTAGTACATGCCTACAATTCCAGTGAGTTTTTTGGGGAGGAGGGGGGTTGAGACAGGGTTTCTCTGTAGCTTTGGAGCCTGTCCTGAAACTTGCTCTGTTTCTGCCTCGAACTCACAGAGATCCACCTGCCTCTGCTTCCCAAATGCTGGGATTAAAGGTGTGTGCCGCCACCACCCAGTTGTTTTTTTTTTTTTTAAAAAAAAAGCAGTTTTTCTTCATTGTTATTGTGTGATACTCCTTGAGCTAGCGTGAACATATACTAGAGCGAGAGGACAAGGTAGCTGGGTGGAAACTCGGGGTATTGGGGGACACACAGGCTCTGGCCATTGAGCAGCATCTACCGACCTGGAGAAAATGCCGTGTCCACAGCAAGCTTCTTGTCTTGGTACCATTATCGTCCCCATTGACAGATGACGAACCCAGATTTAGAAAGGCCACCTGCCCATGAAAGGGAAGTACACACTCCAACCTACCTGGGGTTCCAGATCTTTGTCTGTCTGTCTGTTTGAGATATGGCCTCACTATATAGCCCTAGCTGGCTTGGAACTTTCTGTGTAGACAAGTCTGACCTCAAAATCATAGAGATCCCCCTGCCTCTGACTCCCAAGTACGGGATTACAGGTGTGCACCTTCGCACCTGGCCATAGCTCTTGTTCTTGAACACTTTGTTCTAGTGTCCAATGGACTGGCTCTGGGCTTATTACAATATTGTTTGAAGGAGACATTGCTTCTTGGCTGAAAGACACTGTGCATCTCTTGCAGTTCTAACCCAGTGACAGTCACCCATCTTGGGTTGCATGCAGTCAATCAGAGGCAGGACCTATCTTTGTATTCAGATCAACCCAGCTTCAAATCCTCTCTCTTATTCAGCTTGAACTTGGAATGTATAAACTTTCATGATCAGGTTCTAATCCAATTTCTTCTTCCTTCCTTCCTTTCTTATTTATTTATTAATTAATTAAAGACAGATTTCCCAGTTGGGCAGTGGCTATTCAAACATCTTTGGGGTCAGTCCACATGCTTACCACGAGTTACCTCCCAAGAGCCCCAGGAATCCGAGGTGCCCTTTTCAAAGTGGCTGTACATGCCTTTCCCGTCTAATGCTCCCCATCAGACTCCGGTGGACCTTGGTGGAAGCTTATGCTTAGGTTGTTGGGCATTGTTTCTATTGTCAGTCACCTGCTGGTTGGGATTCTCCTTTTTTCAGTTCAATGTGATAATGTTGGAAGT